ATTTATATAATAACGGTTATCAAGTTGATTGATTAACGAAGCTAAGCCACTACAGATGTATACACTGTGCATTCACTCACTCACTCACTCACTCACTCACACACACACATGTATATTGTGATGTATGTATCATCGACAACAGATCGGCATCTTTACTGAGATCATCTTCGTAAATTTCATTTTGATCGGACATCACTGTCGATACAATTGTGACATCCTCGTCAATATGTATGTACTGTTGGTATTTCGACACGTGTACACCCTCACACATTTCAGATGAACTCCCACTGGAAATATACTGTGCTTATCGAGTGATCGTGTGCTCACACCGACGCGTTGGTTAACTGACGGAGATTGAGAAACCCAATGGTGTAGTAAACGCATCCCCAAAATTATCATCATCATGCTCATTGCCAATACGGTCACCGACAAATCGCCAATGACCACGATCGTCGTCACTCTGTTCCCCTCATCTACATCATCATGACGGTGTTCAACACGACCGATTCGTTTGTAACCTCCTCATGTACCACTTGGCATCGACGAACAGACACACATTGAAATGCTCATCAACGCGCTCACCCGCGATCACACCCAAACGTGTGTTGATGAGACGATCATGTGATATTGTGTTTTTGATGATTGACTCGTGACCTCACACACTGTTGTAGGTCTCGACCGACTTCGAGGAATCACATGCCTATAACACCGACTACCAGATGTTTGTGTTCAGTCGGCTTTGTTGAGAGCACTCCGTTTGTCCAGAGAGCGTATGAATGGGCATCAGGGATTTGCATCGCGACACCTTCATGGATTTGGTTGTTGGCAGTGTGAATGTGCGTGTTCTTGTTAATGATGTTGTTGTTGTTGTTGATGGTGATGTTGGTGTTTTTTTCTTTTGATTTTTTTCTTTTTAACCTTTTCTTTTTCAATTATACAATAATATACATTTAAGGCGTATTTTTAATTTTGTTTTGTAGTTACATGTTACTGAAATTTTATAAGTATATCTCTTCTCCAAATGTAAAATATTTATCTGGACATTTGATTTATGGAAACTCATGTTTCGTTTAACGGCCATCTCGGAGATATTACGAATGTAATGGAAAATATGAATGCATTATGAAGTGAAATGAAGTCATAAAATGCATATTTATGATGTTGCGTAAGGAGAGCTTTAATATATTAACAATGTTGTATGGTGCAGTTCTTCTTCAGTTATGTATCTACGAAATGAGTATTGGAAGTATTAGCTTTTAATGTTTTTGGAAGAAGCCGTATTGTGTGATTGACTTTTGAATTGTCATCGGCACTCACCTGACGGATGAAATTATAAGTGACGAGGAGTGTCTATGATACTGGGTAGAATTTCAAGCAACTGGTTCTTTTTATGATTTCTAATCATAGCCATCATCAGTTTCAATTGTTTCACATTAAATCATACCTCAATTTTATATTTCATTATATATATTGTTGTATGCAGCTGATGGGAAATCACGAAATACAACAACTTCATATTATTTTGTCTCAATTGTCGTTCTAGTCTGGTTCAAATTCATAACAGTAACCGAATGCTTAGAATTTCTGTAGAGTCGCTCCCCTGTTCATTTTTTATGTCTCTCAACCGTTTGGTGACAATCTACCGAAGGATATCGGAGGAAACAACGAGATTCAGGTTTTTGAACAGTGCTTTAATGATGGCTGCTTCCTTCACCAATTTTTTAAAAGTTGTACGTGCACGTAAACTACCTCCTACATTGAAAAGTCTACGACGTATCACAAATTCTCAAATCGAATATACTAAGGTACTTATCTCTAAACTCAAAACAGAATCCCTTTTTTTTGATAAAATTGTTACGGATTTAAATATTGTACATTAAATTATAATAATGGGCTTTTGAGTTTTTAAAGATATTAACCAAAACACATGTAAAAGAACGAAAACATAACGTCTTTCCTATTAATCCGGGAAAATGTATGCAGAATTTATCGACTAAAAAATTAGGTTTAATTGTAACAGAAATTCTCCCTCGGATTTAAATTTAATATTCTGAAACTCGATTTCAGTATTTATATCAACAGTATTTATATCAGACCTAAAACTTATGAATGATGAAATGGAAATTAGTGAATGTTACAAATCAGCACATTACAACACCAGTTCCACAGTCTAAGTGTTGACTAAAGTCCATCATCAAGCATTGGGAAAACTTATGAAGTACAAAATACTAATGTTAATTGGATCAGTGTAATTGTTCTAAACAGAGACGAATACAATAGCAATGTGATGTCCATTTTAAATGAATCCAAGAGATTTATCATCGACAATACTCAGAAAGACCTGACGGATGAGACTGGCGTCTTTAAAAGAGTTGAGAGAATATTTGAAGAATTTAATCGATAATCCTACATACAATGAACTCATACCGAAAGGATAACAATTACCTCATTTAAACGATTTACCTAGAATACATTTCAAACAACCACATGATGCCAATATTATCTATGACCGAATCACGTTTCCACAAACTCGCCCGCTGGTTGACAAGGTGTTTAGAACCAGTCCGTAAGAAAATAGCTCCCTACAGTCTAAAAGATAGTTTCGAATTCGCACAACAGCTTGATAACTTGAATGTTTCCAATAAATTCATGGTACAGTTTGACGTCTCATCTCCCTTCATAAAAATTCCCTTGGGAGAAACTACCGATATTATATATAAGCATCTGAGCTGTCTGCTTTTTATATCAATCAATTCAAACAGCTTCCGTTCTTATGAAGCAAAAATACACACTTTCATTTCAACAGTGTGTTGCACCGCTAAACTGATGTATTAGCAATGAGTAGCCCTCTGGGATCATTTTTAGATTATATATTTATGGGGAACCTGGGACAAACAAAGATTAGGCATGCAGTTGAAACAACTGCACTCTCTTGTGGATATATTAATGACACATTTCTCGTCTGCAACAAACATACACATTCTATGGACTTACTCAATCTTTTTAACAAAGCACACAATGATATAGACTTTACTATAAGGCATGAAGTAGGTAAATTTTATTTCTCAGATATTGAAATAAAACGAACTTGAGACTGTACACTACAAAGACACATTGACCACAAAACTACATCGAGTCGAGTTTATTCAAACTACAATATTTTATGTCCAATGAGTTACAAAAAGATTATTGCCATTCTCATAGCCTTTATTACAAATTACCTACGTAAAAAAGGGAGATTAATCAAGACATATGCCAAAACCAAAGTACGGAATAAATACGACGTTATGGAGAAAACTTAATTCTTGAATAAACGCATTAAAGATGTATCCACAAGAAAAAAAACCCAGGATATATAGTGCAATGACGGCTGTTTAAAAATTAGCATGAATGACAGTAGTTTAAGATAAGATGCACATTCCAACAAAAGAAGATGGACAATAATCCCATCATCAGTAGCTCCAAATGCATTTGCCACTTCGGATATACGTATCACAGAATAACATATAGAACACAACACCACACCACGTTCAACTATAAACACTACAATCAACGCACAACACCACCATCACCACAATCCCAACAAACATCCACACACAAACACTCACACGCATGCTTCGCCTGCACATGCAAACAATCTACCACAAAAACACGAAGCACCAACATCATTAACAAGAACGCGCACATTCACACTGCCAACAACCAAATCCATGAAGGTGTCGCGATGCAAATCCCTGATGCCCATTCATACGCTCTCTGGACAAACGGAGTGCTCTCAACAAAGCCGACTGAACACAAACATCTGGTAGTCGGTGTTATAGGCATGTGATTCCTCGAAGTCGGTCGAGACCTACAACAGTGTGTGAGGTCGCGAATCAATCACCAAAAACACAATATCACATGGTCGTCTCATCAACACACGTTTGGGTGTGATCGCGGGTGAGCGCGTTGATGAGCATTTCAATGTGTGTCTGTTCGTCGATGCCAAGTGGTACGTGAGGAGGTTACAAACGAATCGGTCGTGTTGAACACCGTCATGATGATGTAGATGAGGGGAACAGAGTGACGACGATCGTGGTCATTGGCGATTTGTCGGTGACCGTTTTGACGAAGAGCATACTGGGTGCTTGTTCGTGCATTTTAAGCTGTTTTTTATTTTGTTTTTCGCTTAGTTCTTTGACGTCTTTAGTTCTTCGTTTCGTGTGGTGCTTTTTTATTCTTGTTTCTTACTTATTTTGCGTGTTTTTATCTGTTTCTCTTACTTCCATTGTGCTTTTTTATTTCTTCCTCATGACATTTGCTGTCGACTTCCGTTAAGTTGAAGGTTTTTGATGCATTTTTATTTTAATTATTAGCAAATATTTTATACGATTGTTAAATCTGTGTCTCAATTTTTGAATAGTTTCTCAGTCCTGTAATTGGTGTCATGGAAAATTTTCTATCTACAGTCCCGAATAGAACGAAACACGCGTCCTGGATTCCATTGCTAGCCACTATACATCTTTGCTTATAATGCTTGTGATTTAAGACAATAACGAGGCAATACGTAGAGTATGCACATATACCAATAAGAGACTGATCAATCACAATCCTAAACATCAATCGGAAGATTCATTTAAACAATACTAAGTGAATTTATCGACAGTATCGTTTGAAATATGATTATTGACCACTTTATGGAATAGAACTTATTAAAGATTGGTTAATTGACATTATTTCGGTTGTTCCATGATGTTCAAAAATCTATTCATCCTGATTTGAATATTATTTGATTAGATGGAGGAATGATTTTTAATTTGTCGTAATTATTTTGACGAATGCAGTTAAAAAGTTAAATTTTCTTTCATTTAGTTAGTTTTCATTTGTGAGTAATGTGACTAGAAATTGAAGTTATGCAATTTAGGTTTATCTTATTGTCTTCTCGCCATTTAATCTCCGTCCTAGTCATAAGATTAAAATGTAACGTTTATGCTGTTTGCATAACACCAATTGAGTGTATGAAACAAATCACTTATACCATGACTATTACGATCATGAAGGAAGTATTGTAATGAATTTGTATGATAATAAAAATATGTGAAAGATAATCATTGTTATTATTGGTTGGTGTAGAGAAACAATAGTACTTGAAACACATATAATATAGATGAGCTTCCCAATATTTTATAAAGTGGCTATTTTGTCTATGTAACATTTCCTCTACTACGATTTTAAAAGATGATAAACACTTTTAGTAAGTATTGTAGTTAACTAAGAGAAAATTTCCAATAAAGATACAATTCAATCGTGATCTTTAAAAATTTACTATTCAAGAAATAGTGATTCCTAACTTTTTCCATTCAATGCTTCAATACATGATTACGATAGTTTGATAAATGAATCAAAAATACATAAGTTTTTCATTTATACAAATTCAATATCATTAGCTTCTGGATCATAAATTACCTTGTAATCTTCAAATAGTGTTTGGAGTTTTTCTATATAAATTTGTTTAATATGTGCGACCTGTTCGTCTGTGGGTTCATTTATTTTTTCGCATTGAATTGGAGCACCAACTGTAAGAAAAAAGTGTTTTTTTTTCAAGATATAACATGATAGTGATAGGTTATTTTCTGAAATCGGTAGAACTTTCAGCTACAAATTCTTGTTTAGTTATAAAAACTGATGTTATAACTCTGTTTTTTCTTACGGTTAATGACCCAGCTATTCCTATTGCTTAGTATTCTCGGACACCGATTCACTCGACAAGTCCCCAAATCAGAACACGGTTGAACAGGAAAAAGATTATATTCCAAACAGCAAGTCAGAAGCCAGTAGGAAGCACAATAGGGGAAAACGTCGGTATATTTATAGTTTTTACATAAGAAGATTCCAGAGTATTCTCCGATTATCGACTAGTGCTGATTGGATAAGAATCAGCCAATCAGCGTGCACCAAAACAATCATGCATTGAGCATGCTTTAATCTAGTCTATGTCCCGCTAACAACTGACCTGGTTGAATTTACGACAATATGTACCTTCACTGATGTTTTTTTTAAATGTAGCCTTTAGTTCCAGACACTATAGTTTAATTAGGCTAAAGTGTCTCGAAATATTACCTATCCAAATTAGTTTTGTACTTAATTTGCTGACTGATAAGAGTAGCTGTAAACGGTCACGTATGCCGACATGTTTACAAAATAATTGAAAGAAACAATATAGATTTTTTGCAAGGTAAGTCAATGGCGACTGTGGTCTGCACAGATTCACTTTGAAAGGTAAAGCGGTTTTATTTATTTGAAAACGATTTCACATTAAATAGTAGTTAGCATTATAATCCATGATAAAGGTTTTATTTTATATGGACTCCTAAGCTAGATTGACTTCCACATCAATATAGATATATCTACTAGGATACAAATTTAGTGCCGTAGATTCAAACCCCATAGTGTTAAACACACGACACCAGTCTTGGACTTCAGTGGTAGCTGCTTCTGAACACCTAACCAACATATGAATTCAGCTGATATTAAGGGAACTATATGAGTTGCTCATGTGCTATCAAAGACTGGTTAGCAATCGAGAAATTCGATTCCATATACTTTTGAAAATGGTTGTTAAAAATTGGGTTCTCATAAAACGTAACGATTGAACTTCATGAATTTCCTCCATGTACCGAGTGTAAAAAAGAAACATCTCTTAAAGAATCATTCACTAAGTAGTCAGTATTCAAATTTTAACAATTTGTGAATGATCACCTACAATAGCCGGAAACTGCAATTCTTCAATGTAATTATTAACATACCTACAGTATAAACTGGTTTACGATACGGAAAAGGACCACGAGCATAGAAAATAGGCAGCGCGACGGTAAAAATCGACGTAAATTTATCCTGTAGCCATCGTATCCATGATCCTTTTTCATTTGGAACTTGATGATATAAGCTTTGTTCACCAAATGATATACACGGTACCAAATATGATCTTCAATTAAAGTAAGAATAGTTCAGCATAAATTAGATTATGTCGAATACATCAAGTAAATGGTAGAAACTTAATTATTTTGTGCTTGTCTTGTAATTTCAAGGGCTGAAGAACAATCATATAGTTAGATTTTCAGGACTTTGAAGGTTATTTCTGACCCATAGTAAGTTATAGAGATAAGGGATTACAAAAACTCAGAAATAGGATTGTGTAGATTTACAGGTTAAAATGTATTAAGTCGTAAATTTGTATGAAATATATTACCAAATAATATGCTTTCTTTTAACAAACTTTCAAAATAACAGCTATGTAAACAATTAATTTATTTCCTGTCTAAAGCAGAATTCCTTCATCCATATTAGAAGCCAAGAGTTCTTACCCAACTACCTATTATTATTACTTAGATTATTTAATTCCAACTTTATTGCTTACAGTTTTCAGACTTTACAATGTTTGCTGTTATTTACAATTGATTGATCACTGGGTGGTGATCAATGTCATATGTGTCAAGTCCTTAGTGTAGATCGAATGCTATCGACCAAGTTGCAATGTGACCACTAGTCTAGGTGACTCGGCATTGCATGCACTATGTTGAGATAAGATGGTGGTTGGAGGTAGTTAACTACCATTTTAATGTTTGCTGTTATTATAGTATATAGAATATTTATTTGTTTTACATTCTTAAAAAGTTTATAAGTAACCGATATTTTGTAAATTACTTTTTTTAATTTTATGTTGAAATCATATACATAGCCAGTGTTTGTTTGATATAATCGAGTAGATTATTATGGTTATAATGATTAGTATGAATGAAAAAATAATGAGATTGTTTCTCTAGTGGTATTTATTTGATGAATTCATAGGAATATAAGAAGATAATAAATTATCTGTAACTGAGAAAAACAATTATCTAACAAATATCAAACTACTTATATACATTTTAATTAGTTTAAAATCATAATTGGAAGGTGGTTAAGTAATTAATACCATTTTATTCAATAAAAGAATAAAGTATCCTATAAAATGATTCAGAATATACAGCAATATTATCTGAAATTTTGATTGATTGAACTTTTACCATATCACCTAACAGCTTAAAATGTTATAATCAATTTAAGTCACTAAATATCACTGACAATGTAATTCTAGTCAGTCTACAAATGATTTGATCATAAATATTTACAAATTAGTTGATAGTTTCTTCTTGACGTTGATCAGTATTCAGTAAACGAGATACTCACATTTGTTATTAGCTGTACCTGGTTTTGTAGACACAACAATTCAGTCAGTCAGTCAGCTACAACGTAGGACCAGGCACATATGTGCATCGGTCCAGGTTGCCATACCGCGTCAGCACAACAAGATGAACACCGGATTCATAGCAGTGGTTAGGTCAAAGGTAGTAATATGTAAGAGAAAGATTGCATATAGAGATATAGTACAAGAAGAAAGAATTCGTTCGTTGAAAGAAAGATATGAAGCGATTTTAATCTCTTAGTTTAAGGGAAGACAGAGTGTATACACCGACGCCATTGTGATCGATTCTGAGCCATGTCACCAAGAGTCTCCAACCATTGGTTACGATAGTCACGTGGACCCCAACCAAGTAGTCTGCATCTACCAACATGGCTGAGACTAGAAGTTAGTGACTTCAAGCACCGATGCCACATTTTGGTTTGGCCGCCCCTAACTTTCTTCCAACCATCCCGAACACCGGTTAGCATTGCGTGTCGTGGTAATCGGTGTTCAGGCATACGTAACACGTGACCCAACCATCTCAGTCGATGAAGATCCATAACATCATCAACTGATTTACCATCATTCCCTAATACCCTGCGTCTAACCTCATTATTAATTACCCGGTGATCCCAGCAGACGCCAGCAATATTTCTAAGGCATCTGTGGTCAAATACTAGTAGCTTACGAGTGTCCTCTACTCTTAATGGCCATGTTTCGCTGCCGTAAAGTAAAACAGAACGGACTGCCGCGCAGAATACTCGTCCTTATATTGATAGACGGATATCTCGCCTTAGCCGTAGGTAACGTAAGTTGGCAAAAGCCAAGCGAGCTTTTCGAATCCGTGCTGAGATTTCGTCCGATACCAACCCATTAGGGCTGATCAGACTTCCAAGATAAGTGAAGTTGTCAACGCGTTCGACTACTTCACTCCCTATCCTTAGTTCAGGTGTTGACGCAGACCAGTCCTGAAGCAAAAACTTGCATTTAGAGGGAGAAAAGCGCATTCCAAACATTCTGGCATTGTTGCTTAGTGCTACCAGAAGACTCCGCATTCTATCAGCGTCTTCACTAAACAGGACTATGTCATCTGCGTATTCTAAGTCGATAAGTGGACCTACTGGTAGGAGATCAATACCCGAGAACTCAGTCGACGAGGTTATTTCCATCAGTAGATCTATGATGAAGTTAAACAAAAATGGAGAAAGTGGACAGCCTTGACGGACACCACTTGAGGTTGCAAAAGTAGATGACAGTTCGCCATAAGCTCTGACTCGACTAGTGGTGTTCGAATAAAGAGCCTTTACAAGGTTTATGTACTTCTGAGGTACGCCTTTCAATGACAGACACTGCCACAGAATCTCGCGGTCTACCGAGTCAAATGCTGCTTTCAAGTCAAGAAAGACCACCATTGTCGGACGCCGATAGGTATGCCTGTGTTCTAGAACCTGACGAATGGTGAATATGTGGTCGATGCAGCCACGACCAGGTCTAAAGCCGGCTTGGTTCTCTCGTGTTTGCAGTTCACGAGTCTTAGTTAGGCGTCTGATAATTATCGAGGCTAGTATTTTAGATATTATATTAGTTACACTAATCCATCTGTGGTTGTCACAGGATGATTTTGACCCTTTCTTATATATTGGGACGATAAGTGGTTGCGACCAGTCAGATGGAATAACGTCTAACTCCCAGATCTTAGCTAAAATATTAGTCAACCTAATCGCTAAAATTGGACCGCCATCCTTAAAGACCTCTGGAGCCAATCCATCTGGACCAGCTGCCCTTCCTCGTTTCAGATTAACTATAGCCTTTTGAACTTCAGCAAGAGTTGGGGGACCTACTTCAATGTTCCATTCACACTGTCTGGGAATGGAGGGTAGTTGTAAAGTAGCTGAAGGCCAGCTGAACTGTTCTCTGAAATGTTCCGACAATCGTTCTAAACGTCTGGACTGGGAGCAGATGAGTGTATCGTCTTTTTCCGATATAATCTCACTTACATTTGACTTATTAATTCCAGTTTCTTTTATTAGTCTGTAAAGCTGTCTTGTGTTCCCTATAGTCGCCGCCTTTTCCATCTCTTTTGCTTTCGTTGCCCACCACTGCTCACGGTCGTTTCTTAGACTTTTTCTTAACCTAGATCTGATTTGTTGTCGCTCTTCATCATGTTCAGAACCTGATGGGACGAGTTTGCGAGAATCCATCAATGTGATAGACTTTGAAGAAATCCACTGGTTCTTTGAAACTCTGTGGTTTAAGTCGCTAATAGATGTCACTGCCGCTTCCACAGCTGTTTGTATAGTTTTCCAAGCAACATCTAGATCAGCCTCGTCTTTAGAACTACCTAAGTGTGACGTCAGTTGTTCCTGGAACCTACTTTTGGTTTCCTCGCTACTCAGTTCGGTTCTAATGGGTCTTTTCACTGTGGCTTTTTTGCGTCCAGTGAGGCGCAAGCAGATGCGTGCCCGTATTAGGGCGTGGTCGGAGTCCAAGCAGGTACTCCAGAATGAGCGACAATCTTGTGCCGACCCTCTCCAACGATGACTGATGGCAATATGGTCTATTTGAGTCCATCGTTGGTTTGGTGCAGGCGGTCGCCACGTTAGACGATGTCTCTCCTTATTCTTAAAATTTGTGTTTGCCAAAAATAAGCGATTGTCTGAGCACAGTTGCAGCAGACGGTCACCATTATCTGTTCGCTGTGCCGGAATGCTAAAATATCCACCTAAATGCCTTTCTGTTTGGTTTAAGCTACCTATCTGAGCATTAAAGTCACCCCCTACGAGTACTTTGTCTGAGCGTTTAGCTTTCTGCAGAAGTTCGGACAGCTTTCTGTAAAATTCATCTTTCACTTCATCTGAGCTGCAGTCAGTGGGAGCGTAGGCAGAAGCGATAAAAAGGCAACGACGTGTGTCCCTATCCTTCCGAGTTCTTACGTAGCCGTTCAGCCGAACAGCACATAGACGACTGTTGACGGGGATCCACTCTAGCAGTGCTTGTTCGGCCCTCATGCTTAGTGCTATGCCTACACCTGCCAGTCCACGAGAACTTGCCATCGGGTCACCAGATACACGAAGGGTGTACCTCGTTGGCTCTCCGTTTTGCCGAGGTGAGGTCAAGTGAATGACCACACTGGAATCCTGTATGCGTGTTTCGGAGACACAGCATACATCAATGGAAAGAGACTCTAGGGTTTTAGCCAAGGAAGCCTGCTGACCGATTTGACATAGAGTGCGTACGTTGAAAGCTCCAATGTGTAGTTTGGAGCGAGGTTTCAGTAGACCTGGGACAGAGTTTTTAGCACTAGAATCGTTGGCTATGGTGACACTTGAGGAGGAAGCCGAAGGAGGAAGTTTAGGGTTGAAAGTCGATGTAGGAGGAATAATAGGAATTGAAGAGGAAGGTTGATTATGAATACAGTGGTCTTGGGTGCTGTTAGAGGTATGAGGGCGGTTATCACTTCCCAGCTTCCCACACCGTGGAAGGGTTCTTCTGGAGGTACCTGAAAAGGAAATTGGATTAGAAGTGGTCTCAGTGACCTGAGAGTGTGACCGCAGTGCCCAAGGGACAACTGCTTGAGGCCGGTCGCGCACGGTCTTTTCGTGGGAGGTTTTTGACGTGTTAGCTCCGTTCTTCAAAGGGCTTTACCGCCGGAGATGGAAATCCGTGAGGTAAGGTGAGGTGTGACATTTTTGGGGTCGACCTTTTCTAACCCCACCCCTCCTTGTGGGAAGGCAGCATTGCTGTCATGCTGGTTGTCTGAAGGAAACACCTTACTGCTGTCACACCTCTGTACAGTCAGCAGTACGACTTCGCCTTCGGACCTTGGGTTTGTTGCTTTTAGTCTTACCGCTCTTCAATCGACCTGTCTGACATGGTAGGACCTTGAGGAACGGTTGTTCCAGCCAGTATAGCTCGGTTGCTTCATCACGATAGGCAAGCCCGACCACCACGTCAAAGTAGCAACAACGGTCGGGAGACACAACAATTACTAATTATTGATAAATTGGACATTTAAAACTAGAGCAAGTCATTGACTACCATATGATCATAAAAATAATCCAACCTAATGAGATTAATTTCATTGTATATTTCATTGTACTCTAAATTACAATCACATATTTAAAGTACAAATGTGAATGAGGATACTGTAATTTATTTGTATGTTTATTATTTGTCAAGTGAAAAATTAATCAAAACAATGCAGATTTTTTTGTCTTATCATGAGGCAATCTAGGGAATGAATTAATGACAACTGATGAAGGTTTTATCAATACGAGTAATATATGTTAGTATATGGCATATTTGCACTGCATGAATTTGGGAGCTTATATTTGCCTCCTTGTATTTTCAACTGGAAAATACATTCCAATTACTTCTCATTTTCATAGTCAAATCATCCCACATATTGTCATACAAGTAATTCATTTATTTAATAATTAGTTATATGAATTATTTGAAATAATGAAAAATAGCTGATTAACTAATAAAATTATAACTATATACAAAGAATAGATTTTATAAACTTCATTTAAACTAGTGGTTCCATCAACCTATGTTCATCAACAGTTTATCACAACTTTAATTAATTAGTAATAAGTGGAGAACTTACTTATTTGTAATTAGCCTATTGAATATAATAATATTAGTTATTCACACGTTTGTAAAAAAATGAAGAGCCATAGTTTGATAAATAATCATCTTTGAAGGTATAAACTAATAGTTTTCATATATCTCCATGTTTTAGCAGGTACAATACATTTGATAATAGAAATGAAAAGGTTCATCTCGAAAACTTTTGCTCTTCCTAATTCACTGATCTGATGTAGTAAAATATAATATAAATAGGTAAATCATAATTTCCAAATAGTGTATCTGACGGTTGTGGGTTTTAAAGTGAGTTACTAAGTGATTTATTAAGTTAAATATTCCAGAAAGTTCAGGGCATAGTCACTTTATAAGGCCAAAATGATTTTACAGTATCATACCTTTATTTTAGACATTTAGTGAGAAATCCAAAACGCGCGTTTCGTCCTATTTGGGGCATGTCAGCTGGATGTACCTCCATCTCAGAAATGATGTTCACTCTGGGACTCAAAACCAGTATTGTTCGCTTCAAACGCCATTGCGTTATCTACTTAGCTGCTGACTCCTAATAACCACCTTCTTGTGCAATGGGGGGAAGTTGCAAGTTCACTTGATATTGTTAAATTGTATCTTCTCAATAACTCTGAGATGCAGGTTCATCGAGCTGATGAGTCTCAAATAGGACGAAACGCGCGTCCTGAATTCCACTGCTAGCCACTATACATCTTTGTATATAAAGCTTGTGACTTCAAGCAATATTGAGGCAGTCCGCACAGTATGCACATATGCCAATAAGAGACTGATCAGTTGCAGTCCTAAACAACAATGGAAAGTAACAAATAAGCAACACCAAGTGAATTTAATGATAAATATCATTCAATAGTTATTTTATTTTCTGCATTATCATGTTAATAAAAATTTGTTCGTTAAAAATTTATGCACTGTTAAAGAAAATGATTACATTTCACGCAACACCTACCCAGTTTGTAAGGCCAACTTGAAAAAACCAAAACGTTGATTAATGTGTATCACATATGTTCCAGGTCTTGAATCTAAGGCTTCGGAAGCCCCACCAAGAACGACAACGACAAAATTCCCTGTTTGTTTGCAACTATTCTTATCCAAAAGGTAATGTAATCCTTTCTTAGTAGCAGCAATCATTCCTGAGTGAAAGTTACATTGAATAAAATCATAAATTAAAACTTTGGTTACAGTCACATTGTCCACGGTTAGATCGTCATAAGCATATAAATGTTTATATTCTATCAAAAGCTATAAACTCTTTTAGAAAATCTGGAATTTCGAATAGGACTTATTCCACAAGTGAAAAATGCTGTGTTCGAAGAAGATTAAATTATAGATAACTTCTGGGAACTATTTATAGACTACTATTATATATATTCTTACTGTATAACTATTAAATAACTAGATTATATATATTTATCATAAATTTCATTTGACCTATTGGCTATTGAGATACAATTTACCATTCCCAATTTAGTTCCGATTTATTAGTTACAGTATCTCACACTCATAGTCACTTTTCGCTCGATCGTGTATGATTGTTATTTTCTATTTGATGGTATGATGCGATCTGGTTTGCATGTGCAATAACTTGTACATGACTCATACAGTAGGAGCTGAGATTGCTTTCTGGACTTAACGGGCAAGGTTATGTGAGAAGCTACTATAAAGAGAACCAATAAGGACTCAGAGTTGAATTTAGGTTAACGCGTCATCGGTTCGGCACAGAGCCAAGGTCGTATTATAGTGAACGAAAACACCAGTGGAGACAAATGTATTTGAATACAAAATTACAAAACGTCTTAGTAGAATCTGAGAACCATACATTAAGTACTTCATTCGCAGAATGTCAATCAATTGTCTCAGACTTCATTGTTGCTTTGTTTCTACACCAATCGTTCTCTGTTCTTGTCCTCTTTTCTTCGATTTTCCTAACCTTCTGCCTCCAGGCATTTCATTTTCGAATGATGATGCATACTACTTACATCTGTCGACACCAGTGGCACACACCGTAGTATAAGTCGGTGCTCTGATTGACGATTTTGTCACGTGATATTAGACGGGGCTGAGGACATAACAAAAAGAACTTGAAGGACAATAAATGTCTGCCTACAAATCGTCCAATTTAAGAATATTTTACATTATAAATTGAAGTTAGCTTGACAATGATTGAAAATAAGAGAACGCTGAGCACGTGTTACGTTTTAGTGTATACACTCTAATCACGATTCCACTAAGAATTCTCAACCAACATGTTTTCTTGTTGAATGTTCCCATTTTCCGAATGTAAAACGTCCTAAACGGAATGATAAATTTCTATATCTTGTATCGCCCAAGAAGATGAAAGAAATATTGTAATATTCAGCATCGAATATCTATTTTCTTTTGTTTGATTTTAGAAAACTAACGAAATATCTATTCTATATGTATGAGAGCTTAATAATAATCACCATAGGTATTCCGGATCTTAGTTTCCTGCTTGTGAATCCAAAAGTTTGTACTGTTCTTAAGACGCCTAATTCATAGCTTATTGTCATCAGTCTTTGACAGGTTAGAATGTACAAACACTATATAGTACATTCATAGTTAGTTGAATCTCTTTATCCAATAAATATTAAATTAATTTATACACCACTAAGTATTGTCCTTATAGGTCACAATGATACGAATATTAGTGCCGATAGTGACCACCACTATTGTTTATGACAAATAACACATGCTGAAATCATGCAATTGGATATCAAATAAACTAAAATGCAGACAAAGCTCTAGACGAACGAGAAACGTTAAGTTCGTAGGTAATATCTACATGGATGTAGTTTAACCAGTTGGAGGAAAATTACTCTTACACTTCTATAGACTCTGCATATTAGCGGCTTCCAAATAATGCAAGAAGTACCAATAGCCCTAAAACTTGCGCCACTCGTTACCAAACGAAACATGCATACTGAGTGATTTTTACCACATAATTCATTGAACAGATTGTTAATAGAATCATGAACATGACAACTAGACCTGCTTACGAACAACCCAATCCCTTCAACCACTTTACTCCCCACTTTCTCATTTTCTTTTTCATAGCTCAGACGAATCGTCTCCCTTGCCATTAGAAGTACTGTAATAACGGACTTAACTAACGGTATTGATGCCATGCATTAACTGTCAGTCAAAAGAGCTACCAACAGATGGTCTTTTCACAGCGACTCAATGGAGACATTTAGATTATGATTGACTAACCTCTGTAACTTCTTTTGTACCCCCATGAGACAAGATTGAACAACCCTTTGGCAAAAGGACTAGGAGGTAAACGTTCTCATGAGCTTCGGCCGTTCCAGACCAGTCCTTAGTCATGCTTCAGAAGCCGACAGAAGCCCCATATCATGACTAGCTTTTACCACGCTATGACTCTCCACTGAAAAAACCTATACAGTTCCAAGGAGTATGTGGAGATTACGTAATCCTACAATGTCTGCTGATCTGCGACATGCCTGACGCGACTGGAGGTCGGTATTAATCCTTGTCAGCCTTCAAGACCGGATCCATGGCACCATCTCAGATATTTTGCTGTATTTTCTCCATTAGATAATGATGAATCATCTGACTACATTAAAAGAGTCATAACCCACCTTTTCCGCATCACATAGTCTAACCCTCAATATTTCAGAGCAAAAGTCACCCAAGATCATGGTGTCTTTTGAGGTAAGCGTATGGCTTAAATTTATGTATGAGCAAGTTAATTTTAAAACATACCTCAATAAATATGTCTCCAATGTTTTGTTCATTCGCAATAACCTTTTGTAATAAGCTGAAATCTACTGATCTTGAAGACTTTTAAAGTAATACCCTGAACCCATTTATTTCAGCTTATTGTATGAAATATACAGTTCAAATCTTTGAGAAAGAATTTTCTCTCTGTAGTGGTTTCTGAAGCATTCAGAGAAGTATGTAATGAGGCCTTCTCATACTAACCAATCAAAAATTTATGAATTTCGATTGTTATTCCCTAAAGAATGTCAGCACCACTGCAATTATTCATACTTTTAAAAATCATCAAAAAAATGAATAACTGATATGAGCGAACAAAATTGAAATGAGTAAAAAACGTGGAAAGGTAAAAAAAAAATATTTAATTAAATAATATATAATCAAGTTCATTCTATATCATTCAATATATTACGGCTTACATATAAACCACATGTACATATACACTATGTTCCCGAACTAAATTGAGTGAACCTTAATACTTTAATGCAACTAAAAAACATGTTTTACAATGCCGAAAATAGATCAGTTTCTATTAATCTCATGAAAGTAATGATTTAATATAAGTTCATTTTCAGTTTGCGCATTTGTATATTTATTTCATGTGATCAATAATACTAATTGATCGAATATAGTATTATAGATTATAAGTCCTTTTTTTACAATAAACTAATGAAGAGACAATTTTCACTGACTTACTGAGATTCTATTACGATGTTCTTTAGAAATCAACAATCTTAAAGTACAGAAAGATATCCAAATGGTATAGAAATAATTTTGTTATACCAAGAAAATATACACTTTGAGTTATTTTGTAATCATAAACTATCCACACAAATAAGTTTGAAATAACAGTTCATAGTATTCTGATCAAGACCATGAACTGATTGATGTTAGAGCACCATTGAAAGTCTGAAAGCATTGGACGACCGTGTCTTCCTATCTTAGGACTCCTCAGCAATGCAAATCTATGATCCTGCCCTTGGGATTCGAATCCGGGGCCTCCAGTCTCGCTCACTAACACAACCTCCATACCACTGAGTCGGCATCCGACGGTGTTAATGTTTGACCTCAACCAATCCACGAAATTGTCTCTACCCGACACGGATTAGCTCCACTGGTCACGGCTTCTCACTAGAATTCCGTCATGAAGTTAGTCACTAATGAGTACATGGTAATTATCAGTATAGGGTTGTGGAGATTACCAAGTTTTTGATAGAGATCATGTAACTGATTGATGTTAGGCCACCACTGAAAACCTGGAAGCAAGCGGTATCGTGGATGCCCACTGCCAAGGAGTTCCACAACAGGACGAAATGGCCATCCAGTGCTTCCAGCTTTTCAATGGTAGTATTACATCAATCAGTTCATGATCTCCATCAAAAACTTAATAATCTCCACAACCCTATACTGATCATGGTATTCTATTTCGTAAGAGCTATACTTTACAGTTACATAACCACATGTTTTAAATAAAGTGATTACAAGTTTATTTCAGAATCTTTGTAACACAATGTGGATAATAAGATTTAGATATCTCCTTAAATTGTTTACACTGAAGTTTAAGTATAATGTGAGAATTTATTGCTGTATGTCGAATGAATCCTGATATTAAGTGTATAGAGTATTCAAAAAAATTGTATTGCTTAGTAACTTAATTTTTCATTCTGATTTTTTTTCCTCTTCTGATATCTTAGATATATTAGAAAATTTATATCAAATCATTCATAACTTGTAAATGGTTTTCTCTTCCATGCAAATCAATAAAGTCCTTTCTATGGGTGTAATTATGAAGACAGAAACTCAGTGAACTTTCACACACCTATTCAACTGTTATTCAGCTTTATTCTAGTCATCAGTATCATTCGAAACCAATCAATAAAGATAACTACACAAGGGTTCATAACTCAAGATCATATAGACTGGAAAGCTATTAAGCTTTAGAAAATCCTTCTGTACATTATGAGAGTTCCATGAAGCATAATTCGATGGAATATTTGAAAACAGAAGACATGATCATAAGGACCAGGTTCCGTAGCAAGTAACCTAGTGTATAACTGTTATAACTTGCGACATATGTCTTATTAATGATTGCTGATGGAAGTAATGCTGACTAGTGTAGGGGATGGTTGTAATAAAGTTAGGGGCGGCCAAACCAAAACATGGCATCAGTGCTTGAAGTCACTAACTTCTAGTCTGAGCCATGTTGGTAGATGCAGACTACTTGGTTGGGGTCCATGTGACTGTCGTAACTAATAGTTGGAGACTCTGTGTGGCATGGCTCAGAATCGATCACAATGGCGTCGGTGTATACACTCTGTCTTCCCTTAAACTAAGAGATTAAAATCGCTTCATATATTTCTTTCTACGAACTAAT